AAAAATATTTAAATGTAAATTATAGGGTAATAAATTCAATTTGAAAAATTTACAAATGTAAACGACGTTCATTGCACCAAAAGTCAAAAAACATATATATCATTTTGAAAATTTTTTTTTTTTTTTTAGTAAGATTGGCATAATCTAAACGTTTTTATATCTAATTTTAACAGAAAAATTAATCCATTTACATTTTATTACATTTTTTTTTTAACTGACTGACTTCTATCTATCATCATCATTATCATTATCATCGTTAAAAAAATTTTGAAGAACGTTTTCTTTTTAACTTTTTAAAAGGGTAAGGTTAATTAACCTTTTATACCATTTTTTTTTTTTTTTTTTTTTGAAAATGTTAATTACTATTTTATTTATTCACGTCCCTTTTATTTTTTATACTCGCGAAAAACTAAAAACAAATAATAAATAATAATAATAATTATTATACGTCACACCTGAACAGGATCAAAGAGGTATATACTTTGTCAATTACAAGTTAATATTGATGTCTAATTTTGGCAAAACCTCAAAAAAACGTACATGAAACGTAAGAGGTTGTTTTAGAAGGTTAAAAAAAAAAAAAACCGGATATCGTTCAAAAGGAAAGAAATAATTCCGGTCATCGTGGGCGTATCACCGGAAACTATATTTTAACATAATTGCCGAAGGATAATTCGAAAGAAGAAACGGTAAATATCATCATCATCATCATCACCACCACTCATTCATTCTTTAAGAATGACCAGAAAAGAGAGAGAGAGAAAAACCAGAAATTTTTGTTCATAAGGGAAACTTTTCCTTTTTATCAATCACGTTGTAATAAGAAAGAAAAAAGGTGAACGACAGCAGTTTTTTCAACATGAGAAAAATTTTCCCTTACACACACACATCAGTGCAAATAAAAAATTACAAAAGTCGTTGATCTCCCTTTTTAATTTTGTGGTATTGCCCTCAAACGGATGGCAATGATCCTTTAAAGAAAGATGTTGGCACGTGAGTTTCCTAACTTTGTCATTCTATCAATCATCAATGCTAACTGAACATTTCTGAACATCTCGTGCGTGTTGTATGTGTTTTGTGCATATACATATATATATATTTAAACATACACGAATTGATTTTTAAATTAATGCATTTGTCTCGTTCATGAAAAAAAAAAAAAAATGTCAAATCGTTTTTAAGATCACTGAACTCCTGACTTTTTTTTTTTTTTATTCGTTTAATACCCTCGACTATTATTTAATAAATTATAATAATTTTTTTTACTATTACAATTTATTAGGAGCTAAATATCGTTATTATTATTATTATTATAAAACTCCCAGAAAAAAAAAACTGACGACAGTAAGTTTTACGAAAAAAAAAAAAGATGTTCGTTATATTATTATTATTATCATTGTTTTTAGAATTTTTTATGTAAATCTACGACACGTTAAAAACCTTTTTTGAAAAACTACAACAACTACGTAACACCTTTTACATAATTCCTTTAATATATTTATAAAAAAATATATCAAAATGCCAATCAAAATAAAAGAGAGAGAGAGAGAGAGAGAGACCGTTGACGTGTGTGTGTGCGTATGTGCGTGCGCGTGTCGCGTTTTTAAAATATTTATTTCATCTTTTTTTTTTTTTTGGTAAATTAAATCAGCAATTTAAAAATGATTAGTCTGGACATATTTGTGAATTTAATGTTTTTTTTTTTTTTTTTCTGTTTTGAATAAAATTTTAAAATTATTTTCGACATTTCAATTTCATCTTTTTTTTTTCCTTTTTAAATTTTAATTTATCACGAGTTATAATACCGAGGAAAAAGCAAGAGAGAGAGAGAGAGAGAGACATGTACACGCACACAGACAGAGAGAAAGAGAAAAAGACAAACAGACAAACAAACTGACAGAAAGAGACACACACACACACACACATACACATGTACACACATAGACAAAGAAAGAAACAGACAACCAAACAGTAAAAGAGAGAGAGAGAGAGAGAGACTCTATCAATTATCAAAAACCAATTAATTACATTTAATAAAATTAAATAACTTCCGGTTTCAATTAAATAAAAAAACAAAACAATTATTATTATTATCATTATTTTTTATCCTAACAAACGAACCAATCAATATCTGACTGACTGATAATATCATTTATCACTCTCCAATTATACAAAAAATATAAAGTTTTCAAATTCAAATTATTTTATTGACGTCATACAAAAACTCTTCCTTTCCCCACCTTTTCGAAAAAAAAAGTAGCTCTTATTATTTTGAAAATCAAATTCGAATCACTCATACACCGATAATAATAATGATGATGATGATGATAATAATAACAATAAAGAATAAAAATAAGTACACAAAATTGGTTCGTTACCCATTGAAAAAAAAATCATGTTTTTTTATTTTATTTTATTTTTATACATAAAATAAAATAAAATAAATTATAAATTTAACCGTTAACAACAACAACAAAAAAAATGTCGATTCGAATCGTAAAAAAAAAAAAATAAATAAATAAGTGTGAAATAATAATAATTGATGGAAATAAAAAAAAAAAAAAAAAAAAAAAAATTGTCTAATATATCACACACACACATATATATAAACGCTATAAAAACATGAAAACTATAAACTTTAATAAAGGTAATAATAATAATAATAATGATGATGATGATGATGATGATGATGATGATGATAATAATGATAACGACAACATTTAATAAAACATAAATTATACTCGTGAAATCCAATGAGGGAGAAATGAAATAAAAAAAAAAAAACGTTCAACTATAAAAAAAAAAAATTTTTCCTTTTTTTTTTGTCGTTCATTTAAAAAAATTTTAACGTTAAAATAATAATAATAATAATAATAAAGAGAGTTAATTGAAAAATAATAATAATAATAATAATAATAATAATAATAACTCCACGAATCGCTGCCAAAAAAAAAAAAAAATGATTTTGACCATGACATTGACCTGTCCCACATTTTGTTTCTTTTTAAGGATTCTAATGGGCAAACAATCAATAAAGAAGGAAATCAACAACAACGACAACAACAACAACAACAACTAAACCAACTGCGCACGATCAACCCTATGCCCCAAACACAAAGAAAAAGAAAACAACACAAATTTAGGGATGAAATTTTTTTTTTTCCGGGGGGAGAAAAAACCAAAAAAAAAATTTAAATTCGTACAACCAAATCTCACTCGCAATCTATTTTTTTCTTTGTCTTCTTCCACGTTTAAAAACTTTCTTTTATCGATACACACTTCCTTTTTACAATCAAAATTTTACTAACGACACGTACGAAAATTTTTCCTTAAATAATAATAATAATAATAATAGCAACACAAACTCTAAGATTGTTAAAAAAAAAAAAACAATTAAAAACCGGATACGAGATTTTACTCAACCCCTAATTATTTTTCAAAAGGTCATTTTTTTTTTTTTGATTTATGATTACTATGATGATGATGATGAGAATTTTTTTTTTTTTTTGACAACCTTTTGATACAATCTCTCTTTTAAAATCTGAGAGGTTATTTTTTATTATTTTGACAATTCAAATATAAAATTTCTTACCTTTATCTATCTCTATCTCTCTCTCTCTCTCCCTCTTATTTTTCACATCATTAATTTTTATGACAATTCTTCAACAAATCACATCCTTTTTATAAACTTCTCCTTTTTCCTTTTTTTTTACATTTAAAACTTCTTGTGACTTTTTAATCCCTGTTTGTTGTTGTTGTTGTAACGTTGTATTGTATAACACTAAATAATTCATCACGAATTTAAAATTTGAATTTCCAGTAGAAAAAAAAAAAAAAAGAAATCTGAAAAAAAAAAAAAATATATATGTCATCAATAAAAAGTTTTAAATAAATCAAACGTAATAACATGATGATGATGATAATAATAATAATGATAAAAATAAATAATTCAAATTAAATTGGAAAAAAAAAAATCAAACAACAATCATCACAGCTGGACAACAACAACAACAACATCAACAATATAAGATATGATGACAAAAAGATAAGATTCAATTTTTTTTTTGGCAAAAACCAATTATGGTCCCCTTTTGTGTTTCGAACCTTTTTCAAATAAATTAATTATAAAAGTAGTTTTTGTTGTTGTTGTTGTTGTTGTGTTTCGTTTTTTGAAAAGTTTTAAATTAAAGAAAAAAAAATTTTTTTTTTTTAAATATCATTTAGGGAACTCCCCGGGGATTTTTTTTTAAAAATTAAAATAAATAAATAATTAAAAAAGACAAAAGTAATCAATATCACAAGAGGGAGAGAGAGAGAGAGAATAGAAAATAAATTTTAATTTTAAAAAAAAATTAGGCTTTCATATCAAATTAGACTTGGTAATAATAATAATAATTAGAGTGTGAGGGTGAAAAATTTATTACACACCAAAAAAAAAAAAGTTTTTAATTACTTATGTATATATATATTTTTAATTCGAACGAAATGAATAAATAAAAAAACTTTTCGCGGTATCGATGGGCGCCATAATTTTTTTTAAAATTTTAGTAAAAAAAATTAATTTTTTGAAATTTGATTTACACCAAAAAGAAAAAAAAACTGTAAACAAAAGATTTCGAATAAAACGACATCTACAGTCGATATTAGGTACTAGTTTTACTGCAGAGACATCTAGTTTTGAAAACTGAAAATAATTTTCATACATGAATTAAAAATTTTATTTCAATAAATGAAAATAAAATCTCCCCATTCAATATATAAAAAAAAAAAAAAATTTCAATCTCTTAATTTTAATTAATAATAATAATAATTAGTGGGTGTTTTCTTACCCCCCCGTTGTTTTGAAATAAATTAAAAAAAAACTTTGGTCACTGTTAAAAATAAATTTTTTAATATTATTTAATTATTTTATATAATTAAAGTTTTTTTTTTTTTTTTCCTAAATTAAAACATGTTTATTAACAGGACTTGTCGATTATGGTCAAAAAAATTTCTTTCATTTATTTATAGTTGCCTTTCTTTTTTTTTGGTGCACTTTGAAATTTGTTACATTTTAGGGAACTTCCAGAATCAAGAAGCAATAACCTCTGTGACATGGATAAAGTTAATGAGAAAATTGATTTTTCTTGTAAGGTTGTCGCAGGGGGCTCTTCGAAAATGTATTCTGGTAAATAATAATAATCACTTTCTCCTTCAATGCTAGCTATTGTTGAGGGACCTGATTCAACAATTTCTAATTCTTTTGGGGGTATTATTTTTTTAGGTGCAGCTACACTTTCTTTTCTCACTTTAGGCTCAATTTTGATTGGTTTTATACATTGATCAGCCCAAGAATCGATAACAGAGGGTTCAGGTTCATCATCTGGCTCCCATGATTCTATACCCATGAATTCTTCATCCCCAGGATCTTTGGGCATGTAAAAGACCTAACAATTAAATATTACCCATTTAAATATTAAAACTTTAACTTGTGCCCTAACAATAACCTAATAAAATATGAACAGGAAAATTGAAATCGTTAACTACTGACTCCTATCACTTTAGACCATGCCAAATAAGCACAATGCACAGTAAAGGCCACAGATTGTCTTTGTAAGTAATTGTCATAGCAAATTTTTAAACAATTATTAACAATGTCTTCTCTAATTCCCAAAATAAACATGTCACTTTCTTCATTTTCAAAAATTTCTTTCCTGAAATTTTATATTATGCATACATAAGTTAATAAATGAAAAGGAAACAATTACATTCGAATGTGAATTTGAAACTTTTTGTATTAAAATTGTTTCTTTTCCATATTCATATAAAATATTAAATGAATGCATTGAAAACTATGAGTAAGTTTTTAAGTACTTCAAAAATTAAATAATTATTAGAATAAAATTTGTTCTTAAATTGAAAAAAAAAAAAAAAAAAAATGAGCATCAAAAATTTTTATATGAAATCCTTAAAAAAAATATGTAGGGATGGGCTTGGCTTATTTAAATAAACAATACCACAGATAAATAAAGAGATTTTTCCAGTGGGGGGAATTATTTTAAGTAATTACACGGTGCACAGTAGAAAGTTTAGATGAAAACCACAGGCCGAGCCATTAAAGTACATTTTAAAATTAATAAAAAAATTGAAAATTCTTGATGGAATGCATAAAAAAAAATTTTTTGTGAATTTTAAATTATAAGAAACATTCAAACTTAATATATATATATAATACCGCAAGAAAAAGGTAAATAAATATTTTTCTTACAATATTCATAAAGTATTGAAGAATTGAAATCAAATAAAACGACCAAGTGAAAAATGTCTGAAAAAAATTATTACCATTTTGTTTCCGTTATTTCCGGCAAAAACTTTTCTTTCGAATCCTGCAATTCAGAACCGACTTTAGATGCGCGACTAATTGATCTTTTCATTTTAAAAAATTATTTAAAAGAAACTTTTATAAACGATTTCAATATAATTATCACTTAACTAAAACTATAAAATGTAAAATCGTTTTAAGAAACTCACTAACCGACTATACGAAATTTCTAGAAAGAAAATTACATTTAAGAGAAATTTGTCGCCAAAATTTAAAATTGTCGAAATAACAAAAATTCTGTGTTTGTTTTTGAATTTGATTTTAAAGTGTATAAAATCCAAGGGAAAATTTTTTTAATATTTAATTTAATTTTCTTTCTTTCTTTTTTTTTTCTTTTTTTTTTTTTTTAATAAATAGAATTTGTAATAAAAATATTTTAAAAATTACATATAAACTTTAAAAATAATGTTGACGACGCTTAATGGAATGTTTTTACCACCTAGTGAGTAACTAATAAATTTGGTTGTAAAATAATTTGAAATCCATTCGCAAGTATTTACCGCGAGTATGATATTTAAAATTAAGAAAAAGGTTTTAACGTTATCTCTCAAATATCTTTTTAGAACCGCATAAAATTGATTACATTAAGGAAAATAAAAGAAAATTAAAGGAAATATCAAGTATGGTTAATCAAAACAGGAGCAGATCTAGAATAAGTATGACAAAATCGAAAAACTCTCAAATTGAAATCAGCAAGTATGTATATTCTTCGAGTGCTCTTAGAGAAAACAAACATTTATCAAGTTCGAGAAGTAAGTTAAGTACCAAAGGATCAATGGCGATATTCATGCATGAAAAAAGAGATAAGGGAAGTGTAAGCAATGCTTCTTTGTCAAGTAAAAGAAAATCATCTCATAAATCGATATCAGTGAAAAATCAAAGTTGTCAAACAATTGATCCAAGAAGATGTGATCAATTATTCTATGATGGTGTCATTAAATATCCATCAAACAAAATTTTACTAGAGTTAGCAGAAATAGAAAAACAAAAGGCTAATAGATTAGATGCTCATATTAAAAAGGAATTTTTCAAAAGGAATAAAGTGAAGCTAAAAAATCCCAATAAAATACCCATTTTATCAAAGGGTAAAAACAAAGATTCTGAGAAAGGTGATGGAGGAGGAGAAGAGCATCCCGAAGAACCTGAAGATGAAGATGAGGAGGAAGATGAAGATAATGATAATGATGATGATGATTATGAAGAAACTGAAAATCAAAATGATAAAGAAAGTGTTAAAAATGAGAATGCAGTAAACAATTCGTTAGTTACCTCGAAGCAACCAAAAGGATCACCTCCTGTTTTGACTATGTGTGCTGCTGATATAATAAGGAAAACGACAGAAAATTTTAGCAGTCCTAAAAAGGAAATATTAACAGATGTTCATACACCTAATAATAAAGGAGATTCAAAAGTTGTTAAAAAATTATCAAAAGAAGAACAAGAAGCTTTGAAGGTACCATTGGATCCCAATTGTCCACCAGGTCATATTCCTTTACCTGATGGAGACAGAAAAAAAACACTTCACATGTTAAGAGTTAGTCATGTAGAATTAGTAAGAGAAATGAATTTATTACCAGTGAGAACGGATACTTTAAGAGTAAGGCAGAGAAAAATGCAATTAGAAGCACAGCTAAATAAAATAGAAGAGGGTATTAAAGTATTTAATAAATCTAAAGTTTATGTTAAAATTGAAGAGTGAATTTAGAAATATTTTTATTTTACCTACATTAATGTTTTACTTTTTCGATGTTATGTTTAATGTTATATTTTTAATATAAATAATTTTTTTTTCTAATGCTTGAATTAAAAAAAAATTTTTTAAAAGAATTGATCAATTAGTGTTTTTTTAAAAATATTTCTCGCACAAAAACAAATCACTGTTAGCTGTATTTATTAATATTTTGTAGACTTAAACATAATATTTAAAAAAAAAAAGAAGAGAAAATTTAATTATATTTATTCTGTATTGAAACTAAGTAAGCTTTTATAATTAAATTTTCCTTTTTAAAAATTATTGATTTTAATAATAAAGATGTTATTTGAAGCTTATTTGTGACAATCATTATTTTAAATAAAAAATGCACCGATATATATATAAATTTTGAACTGTAGATGTCTTTAATCTTATTTTGACTAAATATTTAATTTATTACAATATAAAAAAATTTACTGCTTATTTAAAATTTTTTATTTAAATTTTTTTATATTCTATTTGTTTATCCTTAAACCCATCCCAGAGAGATATTTAAGAAAACTTTTTCACTTACCTGTTAAAATTTTTTACATTTGTTCTTTCAAAGTAACATGCTCAAATTTATCTTTATCGAATAAACTATTTCCTTCAATAAATTTTATCTCCTCTTTGGCATACCATTCACGTGAATTAAAGTCAGGAAAAAAAATCTTGGCTTCCTTTTCAAATGACTGTTTAGAATCTTCAGAAAAAAAAAAAAAAAATTATTAAATTTTAATTTAAGTATAAAAATTGTAGACTAAAAAATTACTTACCAGAGCCATGAGTAGCGTTTCTTGTATCTGACAAACCGTGGACGCCTCTTATTGAATCAGGGTGGGTAAAAATTGTTTTGAAGACTTTTGTCGGTCCCATCATTGTCCTCCATACTTCGATTGCATTTTCCCGCGCTAATATGTGAAAATAACAGGGACCACTACACATAAAAGTCACAAGGCGATTGAAAAAAAATTTACCCTTATGTTCATTATAAAATTCATGTGCTTGACTCGTATTTAAAGTCTCTTTTTTTGTTTTTATTATGTAAAATCCGTTAGATAAAATTCTATTTCTAATATCCTGAAGTTAACAACTTGTAAAATTATAATAATGATGATAGATTTTTAATTTATCAAAAAAAATTTTTTTTTTTTATACCTGTAATCTGAAAGGAACAGATGTTATATGAGGTTTTATAATAGCAAAAGTAAGCTCTAATTTCATGACTGTATAAATATCATTCAATTATTTTTTTAATAAATACAATCATTTAAAAATTTGCTCTTAGTGATAACATTTCACTAAATCACAGCTGTTATGAAATTAGCAAAGAATATTTTTCTTGTTGCCAACTTAAAAATTTAAATGCGATTTGATTAAAAAGGCGGTTTAATGGAAGACTCCGAAGGGAATAATGAGTTAATTGAATGCGATGAAAAGCTTACTAACGATGTCGTTAAAGCTATTTTTTTATTAGATCATTCTAAAAAGCCTTTTAAGGCAGCCGATATTATTGCATTATTAAACTGTAAGCCCTCTCGTAAACAATGGGTAACGGTGTTTGACAAAGCCAAGCAGAAAATTAGAGGTTTAGGTTTGGTATTAAACGAAGCTAACAATAAATCTTCAAAGGTTTTTTTTTTAACAAGTATCAACACTCCTTTACCTCTCATGTGTAGATATGCGTCTGATAATGAAAAAGCTAATAGAACATTGTTGGTTTTGGTTTTAACTTATATATTTATGAAAGAAAAAAGTGTATCTGAAGGTGAGCAGTCTAATTATTCCACTCAATATTTGTTTGAAGGGGCAATGACAATGATGAAAGCTTTCATAATGAATAATTACTGATTACTTTTATTTATCATTATCCTTACTCATTTAGTTTAAATTTGAGTCTGACCTCTTTTTAAAAAAAAAAATTTATTAGTATAAGTAAAGTATTATGTAATAGTTAAATCTCATTAAACTTAATTTTTCTTTTTTTTTTCAGAAGACATTCTAAATCATTTAAAGCAATTAAAAATATTTAGCGAAGAATCACCTGTTCACAAATACTTTGGAGATGTTAAAAAGAAAATATTTACAGAATTTGTAAATCAATGTTATATAGAAAAAGTATTAAATAAAGAATCGAATGAAATTTTTATTAATTGGGGTGAAAGAGCAAATGCTGAAATAACAAAGAGATCTATATTAGAATTTGTTTGTCGCATAGGTTATAAGGATTCTGTCCAGCCAAAAAATTTTGTATCACATTATGCTAAAGTAACAGAAGAAGAAGATGTAACAGAATAACAAATAAAACATTCTTTAAAAATTTTAAAAGTTCAATCAAAGTTTTGTTTAATTTTTGTAATTAATTTTTAAAAATATTTTTCTTGTACCTGAAATCTATTTATTAATAAAATAAAAAAATTTTTCAAACTAATTAGGTTCATCAATTATTTATTCGTACCTTAATTATCATAAAAGCATAATGATTAACTAACATTGTTTTCTTATTTTGGAGCCTCGGCAAATTTTTAAGTGATTCTATTTTCTTAAGTAATTTCAAAATTCAGGTGTGAACCTGTAATGAATGTGGAAAAAATTTCAATAAATAATTTTCCACGTTGATAAAATACATTATGTAATTGAAATAAATGTTTAGTAACTTTATTTTTATACATGTTAATAATTAATAAAATTAATGGAAAAGCTCTATTTTTTTTTTGGCAACATTTTCAAACATGGCTTCTACACTCATGCGCCCAAACATTTATTAAAAAAAAAAAAAAACTCAACATCAGCAGTCCAATAAAAAAATTTTTCATGGCTGCCTTTCATTTTTTGTACATATATATTTATTATTATTATTTTTATTTAAAAAAAAAAAATAGTTTTTAATAATTAAAAAAATGTTAAATAATTATCTCTGTAGTTTTTCAACACACACACAATCAAATTTTTATTATTTTTCACATGGATAAAAAATCATTATTATTATATTTATTAATATGAATATCAATTTTGAATATTATTATTATTATTATTATTTTATTTATTTAAATAAATAAATAATTATTTGATAAAAAAGAATGAAACAAGTTGAAGAATTGGATATATATGTTCATCCACCACCATCATTTATGAATAATTATTGGGTAAGAATATTATTATTATTAAATTCATTTGATTGATTGATTGATTGATTGATTTATTTATTTATATATTTTCTTTTTTTAATTTAGTCAACATTTTTCATAATTATTTTAACTGCTGGAGGAGGATTAATTGCATTCATTGCATGTTGGTTTAAAAAATGCAGGTTAGTACTAATAATAATGATAAATTTTATGTGTGTGTGTGTAAGTGAATAAGATTTTAAAAAATTATTAATTCTATGTAATTTATCAATCAATCAATCAATCAATCGCGTTAATATTATTATTATTATTATTATTCGTGTATTCGTGAATAACGGTCGTAATAATAAAAAATAGTTTTGACCTTTAAAAAAAAAAAATATAAAGTGAATAAAAGGTCAGTGTTGAAAAAAAAAAAAAAGGTTTTGATTTTATCATTAACCTTTAAGATTTTAAAAAATTTTCTTTTTTTTTTTCATTTTAAACACGAAAGTAAAATAATATACAACCAAAAATTATTTTAAAAAATTGTGTGACATTTTCAAGTGATTGTTTGTTTGTGTAAAAAAAAATTTGTTTGTTGTTTGTTGTTAAAAATGTTAACGGTTTACAAATCGAGTTTTATTAAAATCCGTGGTAATAAAAAAATAAAAGAAAAAGAATATAAATATTTAAAAAATGAAAATTTACAAGATGAAAAAATTAAAAAAACAAAAATAAACAAATTTAAAAATAATAATAATAATAATAATAATACAGGTACAACAAGAAAAAAATTTAAAGAATCCAAATCGGAAATGGATATTATTTATTTAAATAATAATAATAATAATACTAACGATAATGAAAATGTTAAAAGAAAATCTCCAAGTTTTGATAGTATAAAAAATTTAAAAAGAAAATTTTATAAAAAAAATTATTTAAATAATAATAATAATAATGATGATGTTTATTCATCATCTCCCGAGGGATATAAATTTGATTCTTTTTCAAAATTGTTTTCCTGCATAACGATTAATGAAAAAACAACAATGGATTCGCCTTCTCCTCCTCCTCCTCTTCATAGGTAAAACATACAAAAAAATACTCAAAAAAAATTATTAATTAATTACCGTAATGATAATAATAATTATTATTAATTAGATTTAGATAATTAGTATAATTATATTATTATATCTTTCGTTTATTTTTTTTAGTATTATTATTATTATTATTATTAGAACCGAAAAAGAAAAAAAATTCGTTAATTTAATTACGTTAAAAGGTTTTTTTTTTAGTTTTTTAGTTTTTAGTTTTTTTTTTTTTTAGGGTCAAAAGGTTATTTTTCCCCCTCTCTTTCTCTCTTTTTTTTTTTCGTGTCGAGAATACGAAATGAACTTTTATATATATATATATATATATATATATATATATATATATATATATATATATATATATATATATTTGTTTTCGACAGGTTAGTCGATGACGTTTTTATACGACGCCATCTTTTTTTTTTATAAATTTTTCAAAAAAAAAAAAACCCGAGAAAATTTTTACAACCTTTTTAAAATTATTCGTCACGTTTTTAAATAACAACTTTTTGTTAATTATTAAGTTTATAAAAAAAAGAAAATTTTACTACATTTTATTAATTAAGAATCATCATCATCATCATCATCAACAACAGCAACAGCATCAACATGAATTCTTTCATAATAAACAAAATAAATTTTTTTTTTTTTTTTACACATTTTCGAATAATTTTCATTTTAGTCGTTTGTAATATTTTATATTAATTATAATAATAATGATACTAAGTATAAAAACGAATTTAATTATCATTATTATTATTATCATCATCATCATAGCTACAACTACAGTAATTAGTTTTTAGAAGAATATTTTTTAATTAAATATTAAAGTTTTTATTTAGCGCTTTTAAAACAAAAAAAACTTTTATTATTATTATTATTATTATTATTTGTTTGTTTTACTTACGGTGGAAAATTTTTTTTCTTTTTTTCTCGTTTTCCCAGGCAAAGTCATAACAGATCATATGCATATACGGCTCTGGAACCTGAACCTACATTTCACGAACGTTTGGAAATGGAAACGAAAGCATGCGAACGTGCACACAGCATATGTTTACATTATTTAGAATCGAACATTCGATATTCTCTAATACATCAATTAAACGATATCGGTTCGAGAGTCGATAAATATTGGTTCGTCGTTCGAGATTCATCTGTTAAAACGGAAAGACTTCTTAGCGTCGTACCTAAAACGGTCAAATGTCCTATACGTTGCGATTCCGAATCCAGATCCGTCATATTGGATTTATTTCTTGCTCTTCAACATCCTTATATTTATCCGATATTGGATATAAATTTTCGTGACGTCGGTGATAATTGTTATATATTTACGACTTTACCACTCAACGATAAGGGTAGTTTAAAAGATTTCATATATAAAAGCAGATGGGAAGATAATTGGGGTCAAAAATATTTTCACAAGAGTAACGGTTTGCCAATGTCGCAAATACAAAGGCTAGGAAGGCAAATATTAGAAGCATTATTGTTTCTCAGAGAAAAAGGTTTTCCATCGTGCGGTCATTTTCACACCGGAAATATAGTTTTACAAAATGGCGTCGCGAGACTTAGCGGTTTGGAAAATGCATTGTTCGGTTTCAATTCTAGAATATGTCCCGTTTTATTACCACGTGCTCATTCCGAACCCGAATCCATTGATTCTTTATGTTTCGGACATGTTTTATTTGAAATGTGTGCCGGATACGAATTAGACACGTCTCAACCTTCCGCTGGTAACCTTTTGGATATTCATCAATATCCGCAAGTCGTTGAAGTTTTAGAATTAATTTTTGAACATCCCGATATGAGACTTCCGGTTATAGAAGAAATACTTTTGTGTGACCTCTTTAGAAATATCGATTTAAGAGAAATTCGAAACCAAGCTCAGTCGACGGTAAGTTTTTTTCATCTCTTTTATTTCTTTTTCTTAATTATTATTATCATCATCATCATTTCCAAAAATTTTTTCCAGCAAGTATTTAAAACGAATTTGACACCGAAAGCATCGGAATTATTACAAGAAATTAAAAAATTAAACAATACGAAATTAAAAATTAAATTACAACAGCAAAAACAACAACAACAACAGCATTCCTTTGACGACGACGACGACGATGATGATGATGATGATGATGATGATGATGGTAACACGTTAAGAGACAAAAGGTAAAAAAAAAAAAAAAAAATTTTAATTTTTCCAATTAAGAAGACCAGCAAGAAAAAAAAAAATTAAATCGTTGTTGATTTTTTTGCCCCCCAATCGACCCCCCAAAATTTTGCTTTTTTTCCATTCACTTATTTATTATTATTATTATTATTTATTTATTTATTTGTTTTTTTCTATTTCTACGCTTTTTTTTTTCTCTCTCTCTCTCTCTCTCTGTCTACGTTGTTCTATTTATGGGGTTCTCCAGGTTTTCCAAGGTAATTTTCTATCGTTTTTATTTTTCAATTTTCTTTTATTCTTTTTATTCACGGAATGTTTTGTATACGTAAACCCTTTCCCCCCCAACCCCCCCACAGTAAATTTTCGTAGTATTATTATTATTATTATTATTATTTGTTGCACGAATCATTTATAGTGATATATTATTATATTAAACATTTTTACTTGTTTTTTGCATTCGAATCGATTAATTATTATTATTATTCCTTTTTTTTTGTTAAAATTCAATCGATAATAATGATAATAATTTGATTTGTCTTTTATTTTTTTTGGTTTTTAATTGCAAATTAAAAAAAAAAAAAATTTTTTTTAGTTTTTTTTTGTTTTTTCCTCGCCATTTTATTATTTATTGTTTTTATCGACTTTAACACTCGAACGATTTTTATTATCATAAATTTTTTTATATTTTTATTATTATTTTTAACAAATAATTTCTGTCGAAACATAAAAAAATAAAAAAATCGATAATTCTATGATTAAACGGATAAAACAAAAAAAAAGTAAATAAATAAATAAATAAATAAAAATTAATAATGATGATTACGATGATGAAACGTGTCTTTTTTTTATTTGAAAATGTCTCTCGCTTTTTAATTTAAAAATGATTATTATTATTATTATTATTATCAACATCATCCCCTTCCCCTATTTTTTTTAGTATTATTAAAATTAAATATTTATTTATTTGATATTTTTATTTATTTATTTAATTGTTTATAAACAAAAAAAAACTGTCTGGAAAATAGATTTAGATAAACATTGTTTTTTAATATTTTTGTTTTAAATGAAATTTTTTTTTTATTAATTTAGTTATTTATTTTGGTTCGTTATAAAATCATTCAAACGAATTATTATCATTATTATTATCATTATTATTATTATCGTAATTTTTTTTTTTTTTTTTAAAGCACTAGCACCGCAGATTCGGATAACGAAGCCGATGATGATGATTACGATGCTGATGCAAATTCCGAATCGGAAAATTCTAAAAAAAAGGTAAAAATTCTTTTTTTTTATGTATATATTGAATTATTATCATCATCATCATCATCAGTATTATTATTATTATTATTATTATTATTATTATTATTATTTTTTACAGGAACATCGTTGTTTAAGCCTTCACAATTCGTCATCGAACAATAATATATTGATATCACTACGACAAAATTGTGATGATTTTTAATAAATTTAGACTGAACAATTATTATTATTATTATTATCATTATTATTATCATTATTATTATCATTATTATTATTTAACGTTAATTATTTATTATTATTACGTAATTTTTTTTAAATTTGTATTTATTGTAAAATAATAAAAATATTTTATTATTATTATTAGCGAAGAAAAAAAAGTAATAATAATTGGATAAATTACGCAATCAATCAATCAATCATTCCGCCGAAGTGAATTTTTTTTTGCAAATCGTTACGATTATTATTATTATTATTATTATTATTATTATTATTATTATTATTATTATTAGGTAATAATTTCGTAACGGAAATTATTAATTAATAAAAATAGTTTTTATTAATTAAAAAAAGTCTATAAAACGACTGAAAGAGTAACTAAAAGTTTTAAGCTCAGTTTAAGTAGTTAAAATTTATTAATTGATAATAATAATAATAATAATGATAATTCCTATCGCATAACTTAAGCAATATTTTACTTTAAAAAAAAAAAATTTTGTTATGAGAACTATTTTATTATTAAAAAAATAAATAAATAAATAAATAAATAAATTACTTACGTAAGCGTTACGCACATGCGTGTGTGTTAATCCTTCTTCTCTTCTTCCTCCTCCTCCTCCACCTTCCATTTTTTCCTTTTAACGTATCCCCGAAAAAAAGTCAAAACTTTTCGAAAAAAAAAAAAAAAAAATTGTTTAACAAAAAAATTATATATCGAATAAACGGGGGGGGGGGGACACAGAGAGAGAGAAAATTTTCTTTTTTTTTTCTAGAATTTTCTTTTTTTTTATTTTTTATTACGTACGTGTTTGGAAAAATATTAATCCCAGTTTCTTACATAAAAAAAAAAACTTTATATTAATCGACGCGGAATATTAATTATTATTATTTTTATAATCGACACAAATGATTTTAGGTCAAAGGTCACGAGTGAAAAAATATTTATAAAAAAAAACAAATTCATACTTGCCGTCGAAATATTCCTGTGAGATGTATTACGACTCTTCTAAACCTCCTTTTTTTTACCTGCAAAAAGTTTTAAACGTATCCCCCCACTTGCCCTCCCCCCACAATCCCCTCCCCTCGTTTCCTTCGCCCCTTCCCCCCCGCCTCAACCGTACGCCATTTTAAATCTTTTAATTAATGACTCTTACAATAACTAATTTTGAATACGTATAACTTTTCACGTATTAAAATTTTATCATCATCATCATCATCATCATCATGATTATATTATTATTATTATCATCATCACTGTGAATAATAAGTCGCTCGAGACTGGAGAACAAAAAAAAAAAAAAAAAAAAATGGAAAACCGTAAAATATTTTTTTTTGTATCAAGTGAAAAAAAACTTTTACTTATCCTTTAAAAAAAAAAAAAAATATTTTATACGCTGGAGAACGATATTTAATGTGATTATATTTAAAATCTGGAGAATAAAAAATAATAATAATAATAATAAATTGTATAATTGTATTTAAATTACGACTTTTTATAATAATAATAATAATAATGTTAAATATATTTACATCGAATGAAAAAAACAAAGTAAAAAATTTTTTTTTTATTAATTTATATAATTATTATTATTATTATTATTATTATTATTATTATGGTCGATTGATATTTACAATTAATAACGTAAAGCTAAAGCGGTGAGCTGATGAGGAAGGAAGGAAGGGAGGGGAGTAAGGGGAGGGGGAAACAAGATGGCGAATATAAAAAAAAAGTTAATTTCATTCGTTTGATAACGTTATCGTTGATAAGAGCGTCGATATGAAAATTAAAAAAATACTCGACGGAAAATAAGAAGAATTACACGTTGAGGAGGAACAATGAACATCGTAGTCATCTTCGGGAAAACACGACATTCTATATACGTGTACGTTTAAAAGCGTTTCCGCGATTCTCCTGAGAAAAGATGCTGCATCCGATCTACATCTCATATTTCCAAATTCGTAAACGCAACGGTAAAAAGTTTGTTTTGCGCTGGAAAAAAAAAAAAAAACATTTTTTTACTACTATCATTATTATTATTATTATTATTATTAAAAAATCGATAATTTTTCTCCATGTTTTCCCTATTTTTTTTTTTTTAAATTTTCATCAGAGGATTTTCTGGAACGACTTTTTTTTTTTTTCGATTTCGAACAATTTAAATAATTCTTTTTATTTTTTTACTCCAGTTTACCTCCCTCCCACCCTTCCCTCTCCCCTCCTCCACTTCCTTCCGTTAAATGCACATCGATAAACAAACAAACAAACAAACGAAACGAAACTGAAAAATTAAATTTTAATGTTAAATTTCCGGAAAATTTAAATTTAAAATAAATTGTTTTTAAACAATATATAATATTTTAAATACGAGTTTCAATTTTATTTTTCCAGCATATTATTATTATTCGATTTAATAATAATAATAATAACAAAAACTATTAGAGAAATATTTTCCAGGTGTTGTTTGGAGAAAAAAAAAATTTTTTTAAATTTTTTATTAGGAGTAATTTAATCCCTTTCTTATAAATATACATTTATAATATAAAATTTTTATTAAAAAACTGGAATCTGGAGAAGAAAAAAAAAATTATGGAAAAACGATGATGATGATAACATACCAACATGTTTCGATATTTGCTTGTTTCGATGTTGAATTTTGTGGCGGTACTTGTTTAAGAAATCTTTTGGCACAAAAATCCCAATCTTTTGTAACGGCTCTATAACACGAAGCGTATTGAAGATATTCTGGAGAAAAACAAAAAAATCATTTTGAACTGGACTCCATTTTGATAAAAAAAAAAAATATCAAATTTTTAAATCAGATTCAAAACCATTTTTTTTTTAACCTGATTACTTAATTTAAAAAAAAGAAAAATTTAATAAGAAACAATGTAGATAAAAAAATGTTTTCCTGTTACGCTCCAGTTTTCCTTCCAATTTTCCCTCAAGTTTTTTTTTAATATGCCAACAGAGAATTAATTAAAATTCAAAACGAATTAAACGTTTCCAGTTTTTCCCCCTCCCTCCCTCGACAGAACAATCGCTTTTTTTTTTTTTTTAAAACAATAACACACGGTAACAAACAAACAAACAAACGATTATAATAATAATAATGATGATTACCTGATTGGAAAAGCGGATCGTCACATAAAAAAGCAAAAGTGTGCCTGGCACCAGCAACATTTTCATTAATTATTTTCCTTACAGAGGAAGAAAGGCACGTGTCCGAATACAAATCAATGCATTTCATGCCCTTTTTAAATGCGCTGTGGAAAACAATAAAATTTTCTTTTGGAAAATTCCAGTTTCATATCATCATTATAATATCATTAATTTTTGCCTTATGGAATGATTAAGGGTGAGAAAAGGGGGACACAATAATAATAATAATAATAATTTTCGTCGTATTAATCTTAATAAATTATCACTATTATTATTATTTAAATGTGTTTTTTTTTTAATTGTTCTCTAACCTTATTAAATTATTATTATTATTATTACTTGACTCGCGGGTCGTTAATTTTCCTGGAATATTATTTTTAAAAAACAAAACCTTGATGATAATAATAATAATAATTATTATTATTATTTATTATCATTTTAAATTAAAAAATTAAAACTGAAATTTTTATTTTTGCCATTTTCTCCTCCCCCTAGTCCTTATTCTCACCCTCATCCCCCTGGAAGGTCGGTGTGAATTCACACAACAACAACAACAACAAACAAAAGAAAACAAACCAAAATAAATAAATGTAAACAAATTTTTAAAATGATAACAGCTTGATAAGATCGATTAAAATTATTTTAAAAAAAAAAAAATTCATTCGAGGGGTTTTCAAAAAGTATTTATTTAATTTTTTTTTTTTTTTTTTTAAATTCAAATAAAGCAAAAATTACACGACATGATTTTCAATTAAATGACAGAGAGAGAGACAAAAAGAGAGGGGAGGAAGTGAGAGAGAGAGAGAGAGAGAGGAAGTGCGTGTGTGTGTGGGTGGGAAAAATTATTAACTGTAAACTCTCTTTTGTAATTATTTTATCACGTCATTTTTATTTTATTTATTACTTTTTATTTTTTTATAACAAATTTTTCTCCTGTCGCCATTTTTTTTTTTTTTTGAAAATTTTTATTTGTCGTTTGCAAATTCGAAAAAAAAACGTGACAGCAGAAAAATTTAAAAAAAAAAAAAATATACATATAAAAAGTACGACTGAATGGAAAATCGCAGTGTCATACACAAAACTTACAAGAGAAAATATTAATAATAATAATAATATTAACATTAAACGATTTTCGTGGGATCCCGTCTCCTTCCTACCTTTCCCCTTTTCCCCCTCTTCCCTTTCCTCCCCACGCCTCCGTTAAAAAAAAAATTTTTTTTTGTTTCATGTCGGAAATAATTTCGTTTTTCTTTTTCTAGAATATTAAAAAGAAATGAAAATTTCCATTTTTTTTTTCTTTAATGATTCTTTTTAATTTTAATTTACAATGTTTGGTCACGTGGAAAATTTTTATTTATTTAGTTAAAGGCGTTTTTTAATCATGCATAGAATATTTATTTATTTATTTATTTTTAAGAGAAAATATTAAAAAACCCGGAAAAACGTTTTGTAAAATTTTTACTTTTCCTTCGGCTATAATAAAAAAAAAAAAAAATTTTCATAACCTGAGACTATTATTATTATTATTATCATCTCGATCGATAAAAACAATTTTTTCATATTCGATAAAATATAATATATCGATTTTTATGGAGAGAATTGAATTTTTTTTTTTTTTGGAAAAATTCGTCCGCCATTTTTCCAAAAAAAAAAAAAAATTACATAAGCTAAACATTTTAATTAACGATAAAAGAGGAAAAAATTATTATTTTTAATGTTGTTTGTTTTTCTCTGTCTCTCCCTCTCTCCCCTTCCCCCTTCCTCTCCCTGAAAAATTGATTAACAAATGAAAAAAAAGGGGGAAATGAAAAAAAATTCCGTGATAACGTATCAATCATGTTTTCAAGGTCAATTACCGTTACGTCAACTTTAATAAAAATTTTCTTTCTCTTCCCCCCTTTTTTTTAAAAAAATTAACCGGATTTCATTTTTCACTTTTCCTTTTTCATTTTTTTTTATTTATTTATTTTATTTATTACTTCATTTATTATCATCATCATCATCATCCCCATCATCATTATTATTTTTTTTATTTTCTTAAAAGCACGAAAAGTCAAAAAATTTCTTTCATCTTTAAAAAAATTTTCTTATCGTTTTTTTTTTTCTTAAACATCGATCGATTTTTCGTTTAGTTTAAATTTAATAATAATAATGATAATAATAAACGTTTTCCGTCGGAGCTTATCCCGAAACTTTTTGAGAAAATCTTTAAAAAAAAAAATGATGATGAAAATAATAATCCTTAAAAAAATTTATTATAATTTATTAAGAAAAAAAAATAAGGAAAGAAAATCCGCCATTTTGTGTTCATGTAAAAATTTTAACGTTAGTCAAATTTTCAAAAATGAAAAACCTGGAAAGAAAAATACTGATAAGTACGGTAATAGAAAATAATAATAATGATAATGATTGGGTATAAAAAAAAAATGAAGGATGAGTTTCAGGTACGTTTGGGAAACGAATTCGTCTGAAAAAGGGTAAAATAAAAGGAAAATTCGAATTGTACATAAAATAAAAAAAAGAAAATTTTTGAAAAATCCAGGAGGAAACTTTTGAAAGAAAGAAAAGGAAATTAAACGGCCAAAAATGATTTCCAGGTGGTGCCGGAAACTGGAAAAAAGTTTTTCTTTCTTTTTTGTTTGTTTTTATTTTTTTTGTAACCCGATTCGAAAACGCATAGAATACATAATTTTATTAATTATTATTATCCATCGATTGGGGAGGGGCAGAAGGGGAGTGGGAGGAGGAGAAGGTCAAAGTTCCATCGACCAAACAAACATCCAATTTATTTTGTTTATTTCGCCACTGAATTTTTTTTTCATCATCAATCCATCCATCAGTTATCCATTCG